CTAGGGGCGGCTCCCGGGGTGGGAGGGGGAAGGCCAGGGGTCTCCTACAAGGGCACAGCCCCCCTTGCCAACGGCTGGGAGCTCTCTCCCGTCCTGCCCCTGAGCGCAGCTGGGAGGGGCGGGCGGGCGGGCAGGGGATTTAAACAGAACAGTCACACTTAATGGCTGCCCGCCTGGAGCGGCACTTCACGGCAACTGTGGTTTTGAGAGGTCAAGCCGGAGTGACCCCGGGCCTTGAAGTTGTGAACCGCCCGCCGCACACGCACGTGCTCCCTCCCCTCCCCCGGGCGACTCTTCTCTCTTCTCATTAGCTGTTCCCTTGAAGGACTGACTTCCCTCCGGAGGGAAATTCCTGAAACCCAACAGTTGACAAACCCACACACCCTCCCGAGGGCCAGGCACCGGATAAAAGTGGGGCGTCCACTGCCTAGAGCGGGACCTGCCGCTGCCACCAGGGGACCCAGCAGAACGTGGGGACCTGCCGCTGGGACCCCAGGAGAGTGTGGGGACCTGTCATCCGGACCCCCGCAGAGAGGGGACCTGCAGCCCGGAGTCCAGCCAGCACCCTCGGGGACCTGCTCCCAGCCACCCCCCAGCAGCCGGTGGCCGAGCTCGGTCCTAAAAGGCTCCCCGCGCAGAGCCTACACGCGCGAGGAAAACAGGTTCTCTGAGTTTTTCTGGTTTGCGCTCAGCTCTCCGCTGGACGATCTATTTCTGTCTTTCCTTTGGGAAAAATGTGCTTTGCCAATGACTAATCGAGGCCCGTGCAGAGATGTTATCAGCTGTCACCTGCGAGGCAGGACCCGAGCCCATGAGGAAATGAGGAGATAGACAGGCAGGCGGCTGCAGCCCCGACCTGCCAGCACCACCTGCCTCCCCCGGCAGAGCTGCTGGAAGCTGGCTGCCGCCAGGGCCACCTCTGTCCCTGCCCCAGGCCCTGGGCATGTGGCCATCCCAGTGACTGCCGGGGCCTCCCCCCGAAGGGCCGACCCAGGTGTCTGAGGAGCAGCTGCCTCCCCTCGGGCCAAGTGCGAGCCCTGGATGGAGCTTGGGACCCAGACCCCTCATGTCTGTGCTGCTGACGCTGTGTGTCGCGCTCCTGCCCCTGGCGACTCCGGGCCGAGGTGGCCGGCGATGGGAGCCCTGCACAGGTAAGGGGGCTGCCCCCGCCCGGGGAGCCAGAGGGGGGGTGTTGCTACTCACTAGATGCCGCGTTCTAGCGCGATTCAGCGTCGCTGGTGCACTCGGACAGGGAGAGGTGGGACCGGCCGAGGTGGAGAAGATGAAAGGGAGCAGGGAGGCAATCACAATCGAAACCTGGTCTTTAAATGCTAACAGGGTGGGGACTCCGTTCAAAGAGCTAAGCAGCCGCCATCCGAGGCCCTTCGCATGTATTTACCTGCACGGCCTCCCGGGCAAAAAGGCCTTACACCTGCTTCAGGAATGAGGCCCGCGCAGGAGGCAGGGAGCCCCAGGTCCGCACTTGGCCAAGTGCAGGGCCGCCCCGCAGCCCGGTGGCGGCGGTGGTGCCCCGTGAGGAGTGACAAAGATGGGAACAGCCCCAAAGACACCTTTTGGGGTGGCCTGCAGCGGAGCGGGGAGCCCCGCGGGGCAGGGGTGGGGTGCAGCGGGAGGGCAGATTACGCTCCCTCCTTTTCAGAGAGGCCGAGTGGGCTCGCTAACGCCCGTGACCTCGTCACACCCTCCTGGGTTTTCCACCAAGAGATTTTATTTGTCAAACCCAACACTAAAAAGTAAAGGGAGACGAGGCCTGGTACCCAGAACCCCGGCTGCTGGACCGTGAGAGAGTGATGTGGGCCCAGGTGGCCTCGGTGACAGTGGCGGTGTGGGGTCACAGGGAGGCAGGGAGAGGGTGTGCTGGGTGGCACTGGTGTTATTTGCAAATTACTCATCCTTGGTTCCCTGGAACCGGCTGAGTCCCCTCTATGTTGCGGCTCTTTGCTCTGATGGCGCTTGGTCCCCAGTGATGTGACCAGGGGATGCCCATGATGTTCCAAGTCGGAACACTGACTGACATGGGCATGGTGTCCTTTAAAGTCCCCAGTCCCCACCCCGAACCGCCAGGGCCCCTCGGTGGAGAAGAGCAGCCCGCAGGGTGCTGGGGCAGCTGCTGCATGGGGCGCAGGGAAGGTCTGAGCCCCCACTTGGGCTCCTGAGTCGGCTGCACCTGCCCCCGTGACTGTCTTGGGACCCGAGATTTGAAAACCACACAGGAGCCAGGCCACCTGGTCAGAAGTCCCCGGGCCCCAAGTGACCGAAGGCCGCGCTGCCTGCCCGGCACACACACACACACGCCGTCCCAGCCAGCCCCAGCAGGGCCCCGCGCAGCGTGGGTGCCCAAGCCGTCCCGAGTTCGCGGCGGTGTCCCTCCCGATGGGGGATGAGTCACTGACATGTATGTTCACGTTCCCTTCAGCGCCGGGAACAGAGTCAACCTGCATAATAATAATAAAGGTTATTTATAAAGCCGCCCCCTCTCCCCTGAAGGTACGTTGCAAATAGTTAAAAGATGACCCAGTTCTAAATACCACAAACGAGGGAGGAAAGATAAAAGTCACATAAATAATATTGAACTGCGTTTGGAACACTCCCAAGACACTTGCATGAGGGCCAGCCAGGATTTCGGAGGGGTAAAACACCACTCGGATTACATTCCGTTTTGCAAAGTGCATGAGCTACGCTGTAGGGTTGTGTGTGTGTGTGTGTGTGTGTGTGTGTGTGTAGGCTGGACTCCACTTCCCTTTGGGTCTCGTTCACGGTCCTGTCATTGTATGCGTGTGTGTGAAACACTGGGACCTCGGCTACAACACCTGATATCTGAAGTCCTGGCTCCCGACCCTGTCCAGGTCGGAGCGGTGGCCGGCGGCTGACCTTCAGGTCACAGGGCAGCGGTGAAGGCTTCAGGAGTGTGCGCCCCTCTCTCAGGAGGGCACCGTGCTGGGGAGAAGGCCACTCTGCTTGCCACCCACCTCTGTGCCACCTCTCTGCCCTGGTCACACTCTCTCCCTAATGTCAGGTTGCAAGTAAGGTCACTGTAAGGCTGGGAGGGGGGCGGTGACTGCTGGGTCAGGATTTTCAGGGATCCCTATCTAGCGGGGCGGCAGAGGGGAGAGGAACTGTGCCCTAGAAAGTCTGGGTGAAGGCAGGAGGCTGAGGCGGCCCAGGAGTGGGGAGTACAGGGGACGATGGCTCAGTGGGACTCGGTGTCTGCATGGCTTCAGGTTCAACATCCAGGAGGTGTAGGGAGGGACCGTCCAGGAGGCCTGGGGGGCAGGGAGGGAGGGCCTTGTCGGGACTGGAAGCAGGCCACTTCAGCTGGCTTTCGTAAGAGTGGGACAGCAGGAGCTGCGTCCTGGACAGTTAAAGTGGGCACGGGATCTGGGCAGCGAGACAGGCAGGGATCTCCAGGAAACTATGGCTGTTACCACACAGGTGTGCAGAAGGGCCAGCTGCTTCCCAGCTGATTGGCACACTGGCCAGCAGCAGGTCACCAAAGCCCTACTAGGGTGAGCTCATGGCTATGGGACACCACCCACAGGAAGGCGAGGTGGCTGGGACCCTTCTCTGAGGGGCGAGGCCTGGGGACGGGCTGGCCCATCTGCACAGTGCGTCTCACGATCCACTGAGTCTCAGCCAAGCCTGAGACAGACCAGCAGGGGGCCAGCCGGACAGAATACGCCGGGATCACTGACAGGCTCGGTGGGGGCGGGGGTGGGCAGAGAGCAGGGGTGAAGTGGGGACTTGGAGGGGGAACCCACCTGAAAACAGCCAGAGGTGGGCTCTCCCCCAGGACTCAGAGCCTAACGCACATGGCACCCACCCCACTCACTGTCTCCTTCCTCCACTGGCTTAGTGCCCAGGCAGGGAAGGTGCTGCGCCCACCGCTCAGGCGGTGTACCCCTGCAGGCCGGGAGTCTGCACCTCCCTTGGAGCGCAGCTCTGCAGAGGAAGGAGCTGTGAGAATTTCAGGAGGGAATCTTCAAGGGGGCAGGAGCTCCAGGGGCCAAGGCTTCTAGCAGGTGTGGGGGACCCCAGGGTGGGCCCAGGGCAGGGGCGGGTGGAGCGGTGAGACCCGGGGTGCCCTGCATTGCTGTAGCTGGAGAAAGTGCCCAGGAAATGCCTGGCGACAGCTTTGCATGTTAAAGCCAGCTGGCGTGTGGAGGCCCCAGGGGCAGCCCAATGGGAGGCTGGGGGCATCTGGCCTCCTTTGCACCTGGTGCAGTAAGGGGTGGGGGGATTCTTTCACGGCCTTTGCCCTTGGACTTCTTTAACCAGAGGTCTGCTGTCTGTCACTGGTGCTTCTGGGCTCACAGGGTGTTATCCGTGTGAGTTCTGGGGAATCCTGGCCCTAAGCCCATGCCTCTGAGGCCGCTTCCTGGGAGACGCCCCCTGCTGGTGGTTCACACTTTTGCAGTTAAGAAGTTCATTCAGCGGGCCTTTCGGCGGCTCAGATTGGAGCGCAAAGGCAGCAGGGGTGTCTGGACAGCCAGCCCTCGGCGGGTGGGCGGGGTCGGGCCTCTCCTGACCAGCCCCAGGTCGGCCCTGGGAAGTCCGGGAGGCCGAGGGGGAGATGGGGCCGCTGCCTTACCTGCCTGACACTTCAGCACAGCTGGGGAGGGGCTGGCAATCCAGCGCAGACGGTCTCAACAGTTCAGTGCTGAGGCTTTTCACTTTTATCACTTTAGCAAAAGGACACGTGACATTACGTGAATGACCCCCTCCCCCTTAGTACCGGCACAGCGACCTGCTCTCTGGAGGAGACCCCAGCACACCCCTCGCCCTGATCTCAGCAAATGCAAGTGTGTGGGCCCACCCACCCCTTCACCCCCACTTCACCCTCCAAGCACAGAAAAGGCCACGCCCTAAACCAGGGCACCCTGTCACTCTGACACCTATTTCCCCTTGAAAACCTTCTCAGCGTACAGGACACGTTTTATTATTATACTCCCCCCCAACCCCCGCACGGAAGTCAGGAAATGAAGAAGATCCATTTTTATCATGGAACCTCATACACGTTGCCCTTCAGTGGTTTTGGTGGTTAACAGTAAGTCCTGGGTGTCCGGGCAGCCTTTCTCCACAGTGCAGGCGCGAGATTCCAGGTCTGGACTGCCCTTGGGCTGGACGCCGCCCACGCCCTGTCCTTCCAGGTGGACTCTGAGCCCCGGGCTTAGAGAGCTCTGTGTTGGGGGGTGGGGATGGGCGGGGGCGCCCACTTCTCCTCCCACGCTGCGAGTCTGGGGACCCTGAAGGTGGGAGGATGGGGAAGGGGGGGTGAGGTCCCCGGGGGTCACCCTCTGCGTCCCATCCAGGCCTCTCCACTTACAGCCGCACCTGGAGCCGCGTCCACTCTGGTGCCAGGTGCCCAGTGCCCAGCGCTGCTCAGAAAGCGGGGTGGGGGCATGGGACATTAAAGCCACTCCCTTCTCTCGCAGTGTGTTGGGGTGGGGTGTCCCCGCCGTCTGTTAACGCTTCGTTTTCCATCCCAGCCCGAAGTCCGGGCTTGGAGCCGCCGGGGCCCAGGTACCTCTGCCCTGGGGTGAAGAGCTTAAGGGGGTATCTCAGGCGAATCCAACAAGCATCTCCGGTACTTACCGGCCACGGCGGTGGGGCGGGGGCAGAAGAAATGCCAGCCTCGCTGCCAAGGTGACTCCAGGGTCGGCATGCAGCCTGGGAGTCCCCTCCACCCCCGCTCAGACCGCAGGCGAAGGAAGTGGGTGGGCGGGGCGGCCTGGAAGGAGAGAGTTTCCACCTCTGGTCGGGGGAGGTGAGGGGTGGATTAGGGGAGGGGTGGATTGGGGGCTGCCGGCCCGGCCCTGGGGTCTGCGGGCTTGGCGGGGTTGGCGGGGTTGGCGGGGAGCCCTGGGGACGCGGAGGAGGAGGCTGCGTGAGCACGCATGAACGTGCTCCCACGCGCACCGCAGAGAAAAACAGGAGCATATCCACCCGCGTGATAAAACTTGTGTCCTGGTCTTCTTTCCGCGGCTTGCATGTGGCTGTGCCGCAGGTCTCGCGCGTGGAGGTGGTTGGGAAGCCTCCCAGGCTCGGGCGCTGCTCCACAGCCCCACCTGGCGAGGTGTGTGGGCAGGAGTCCGGCTCCCGCGCAGCAGCGGCCGCTGGGGGTGGGGGTGCTCTGGGAACCGTGCGCCGGGTAATGACCTCTCCCGGGAAGTCTGCGGGTAGATAGCGTCCCCTGCCCCGGGGCTCGAGGCTGAGCTTAGGGTAACTCAGAGGAGAGTCAGTCACCAGTGTCGGTGACAGGCTGCGCGGTCGTCCCTGAAGAGCAGAACAGAGGGGCACTCAGGCTGGTGGCACACCTGGCTTCTGTTTAAACCAGGGAGCTCTCCGCCAGCATGCCTTGTCCGACGCCACTGGGCTCCATCCGGGGTCGGAGGGATGGAATTCGGGGCCTTGAACTTGTCTGGGAACCACTGCATCTGCGGGTCATGACTGCAACCCAGACGCAGCAGCCCTGCGGGATGTGTGGTGTGCGCCGGGGACTGTCGCCAGCATCCCTGCGCCCCCTGGGGATTTGTGGGAACATCTGTCCCTCATCTGAGTGAGTCCCCCTTTCCCTTTGTGTTAATACCTCAATGAAAAAGGCACCTCGCTGCGACATTTGTTTACAAAAATATTTTGGTAACTGTACTTTCAGAAGATTGTTTCCCCTAGGAATCTAGACTATTACATTTTATGCACTTACATACTGTTTCTGAGAAGGGGCCTAAGGGGTTCACCATCCACCCAGAGAGGCCCAGACCCACAAAAAGTTGGGGTCCCCAGTTCAGCGGTCTTTTGGGGGTGCCGATGAAGTGGTCCAGAGGGAGACTACTAGAAGCTTAAGGGGAGGCTACAGTGCACAGAAGTCCAGGGAATTTTCTGGCTTTGTAACACCTGGGAGAATGATTTCTCTCACCCCCCTTTCATAATGGGGTCCCAGAAAAGAGGGACAGGGTGCCCCAGGAGAGGGGGGGGCAGGATCCCCCAGGGGAAGGAGCCCCAGGACGTGGGAGGAAGGACTGTGGGTGCTCATCTGCGGGGGTTCACACCGTCTGAGTCTAGTTGCACTGAGAGATCCTGGGCACCCCCATTTCATGAGCGTGGATCTGGAAAAGCCAGCCTGGCCCAGGGGGGTCTGGACCAGGTTCTCGGGGGGACATTGCGTGACAGTCAAGTGATCTCTTAATGCTCTAAGGGTGGGGGGCTCACTGCTGACCCGCCTCCCTTTGAAGAGTGCCTCCTGGGGGGAGGGGTGCCGAGGCAGGAGCAGGGGAGGGTGAAGAGAGAGAGGTGGCGCTGGTGGGGTGTGGAGGAGGGGACCTCGGTTAGGAAGTGGCTCTGGCCTTGGGGAGTCTGGAAAACGTGGGCACTCCATCCAGACCCGCGACGAGGAGAAATCCTCTGAAGGCAGCAAGCCTGGGCCCCAGAGTGTGGGCCCCCCGGCCTCTGCCCTCTGCCCTCTGCCACACCCAGGCTAGAACTGGAGTCAGGGGTCTGCCTGACCTTGGTCACACCTGGCCTGGACCTGGGGTCAAGGAAAGGGCGTTGTCATCGGCCTGTGCGGACACAGGCAGGGGACATTTAGATAAAACGAGGAGGTTGAGGGGGAGATGGAGGGACAGACTCAGTCTGTGCAAATCTCTGGGTCAGCTCTGCTCCAGAGCATCCTGGTCCCGCTGCCTCCTGGCCCTGCAGCCAGCTCGGGCCCTGCCCCCGGGTGCCCTCGGACTGACCAGGGAGAGCGAGGCCTGGGACAACAGGACCCTCTCGCCAAGGGCCTGCTGGCCAGGTGGCTGTTGGCCACTTGGGTCCCAGACACGCAGCACAGCCATGCAGCACGGCCACCCCAGACATGTCCAGAGGCACAGACATAGGAGCAGGGGCCCCAGACTGCCCTGCGTGGGCCTCAGAAGTCAATGTAGGAAAAGCTGCCCAAAGGTGACTCGTGTCTAAAGATGCAGGAGCCAGGGCTGTGCTCCCCGGGGGATGGGAGCTGCAACTAGGCCCAGAAAGAGGACGTCAGGGGCCAGGACAGTGCGTTTATTCAATCAACTTGAGACACATGCATGGGGTGGGGGGGCAAGCAGCACCTAGGGGACAGGGGTCGAGATAGGCAGGGGCCCCAGTAAGGCTATGGGACAAGGCCCGGGGCCTCGTCTGTCAGAAACAGCCTGGGGACCCCCATAGTAGGGGAGGGCCGTCTCCGCTTTATCGGGGCCGCATGTGGAGGCTGCAGACAGGCTTGGTGTGGCGGCTGGAGTCGAGGGTCCTCGAGTGTTCATGCGGAGGCCTGCACCGATGCAAGTGCTGGGAAAAACCCTGTGGGCGGTTGTGAGGAGGGAGGGGCTGGCTCTGGTGGGACAGGACCAGGACATTCGGTCAGCATCAGGACTTCTGGGCTGAGGCAGGGATGCAACAGGCCGGGCGGGAGCACACAGGGCGGCAGATGAGGGACACGCAGGACGCTGGGCGGCAGCAGCTGGGCTGGCAGCAGGAGGAAGAGGGGGCACAGCAGGAGGAGACGGGCACGCAGCAGGCAGGTCTGCACACAGGGCGGCAGATAAGGGACACGCAGGAGGAGGGTCTGCAGCAGGATGAGGGGCAGGGGGTGGGCTGGCAGCAGGAGGGGGCTGAGCAGGGGGCGGCCCCAGAGCAAATGGGCACAGAGCACATGGGCTTGCAGCAGACGGGTGTGCAGCAGACAGGTGTGCAGCAGACGGGCACACAGCAGGCCTGCTGGCAGGGGGAGGAGGTGCAGCAGGAGGACTGGCAGCTAGACTGCTGGCAGCACAAGGGTGTGCAGGAGCTGGTGCAGGCTGATTGGCAGGGGCTGGGCCCACAGATTGCCTGGCAGCAGGGGCTGGACACACAGCTCACTGGGGCACAGACGAGGGTCTGGCAGGGGGCTGGGGCACAGCAGCTGGGGATACAGCAGCTGGGGACACAGCAGGAGGGCTGGCAGCAGCTGGGGACACAGCAGGAGGGCTGGCAGCAGCTGGGGACACAGCAGGTGGACTGACAGCAGCTGGGGGCACAGCAGGAGGGCTGGCAGCAGCTCTCTGGACAGTCGTCCACCTGCCGGGAAAAGTCAGTGCAAGAGTCACTGGAACCGGGCAGGCAGACGCGGTTGCCATAGCTCAGGTCGCTGGAGCAGACGGACAGGGTGGAGGCAGCCATGGTAGGGTGGTGGGGCTGGAGGTGAGCTGGGAGGAGGCGTGAGTGTGTGTGAGTGTGTGAGTGTGTGAGGTGCCTGGGGCTGTCAGCCTTTATACCCCTCCTCTGTGTTGTGTGTTGCCCCAGCAGAGGGCCCCCACGCCCTCCCTTCCTTGCTGGTGTTTGGAGTTGGTTCCCGGGGAACCCTCATTAGGGCTTATTTGTTTTTCCAGGAGCTGCTGCCCAGCTCGTAAAAGTCCTGCCTGCGTGTTGGGGCTGGGCGGCTGAGTCTGCTCGGTGGGCCTGAGAGTCGGGGTCGGGGTGGAGTTGAGGCAGGTGGACAGAGGGGGTGCTGCTGGGTGCTCGTTGCAGGGATCTGGTGGCGGGGGAGGGTGACTTGGATACTGGGTCCCAGAAATGGCTCCTCACGTGGGTGCGTGTCCCTGGGGCATGCTGTCCCCTTCCTTTTGCACTGTCACCAAGTTCCTGTAGGTGATTGGCTGGGGGGTCAAAATACCAGGCCATTCTGCCTGGGGTTGGGGCCAGCTGTCGCTGCCTCAGGTTGTGGCCTGACAGGCGCAGGCGCAGCCGGGGGATGAGCGCTTCGCGCTGGGGTCTCTCCAGACAGCACCTCTGGGTGGAGGGGTCACGCGGTGGGCAGGGAGGGGCAGGGCGGTCGTGTGCCCAGCTGAGCAGCAGCCACCAAGCTGGGACATGTCTCCTCTGTAACCTCTGGGCTCTCGGGGCCCCTGTGGCTCCGGTCAGGGTGGCAGAGAGAGCCTCGCAGGCCCTGCACAGGGGGGCGGGTTCGAGCATCCCCCGCCAGGGCTTGGGGGTGGCTGGACCAGCCTCCTGAGAAGGCTGAGGGTTTATTGTTATTACTGTTATTACACTGTTGCTGTCTCAATGACATTGTAAACGAGCACACTCAGAGAGCGTGGAAGCCAGATTTTCCGTACGAAGTTGACCACACACAGCAGGCCCTCGAATGATGACGGCCATGAGACGCCAGAGGACCTTACCTCCCGCTGGCGTCAGTGTCTGGGGTCGAGTCGGCTCCTGTCACTCGGAGTTGCAGAACCTTTCGCCAGGCTAAGCAAAGACTGGCTGTACTTTTGTGTGACTGTGCGTGTTGGGGTGGCTGTGGCAACCGACCACGTGCTTGGTGGTTAAAACAACCCAAATGAACCCCCCTCCCCCCGCAAGGTCCCGGAGGCCTCAAGCCCAAGAGCAGTTCCTGAGCTGAGACCCAGGCGCCACAGGACCCTCCAGGGGCGACCTTCCCGCCTCTTCCAGCGTCTGTGGCTCCGGCCCTGGCCCTCAGCCTCGACCCTGGCCCTGCAGGCTCGCCTCTGCATCCGGAGCGCCCGTCTCTGTGGCAAGGGGTTGTGTCCGCCTCTGTGAGACAGCGGAGTCTCGGCCTCCCCGTGAGGGGCACGCGTGAGGCCCCGCAGGGCCCACCTGGCTGCCCCGGGCCTGTCTCCCATGCACAGGTTGTTCATTTGATCGGCCCGGCATTCAGGCCGCAGGGCCTTTCCTCCCGCTCGGGTTTGGGATTGGGACAAGGCGGCCTTGGGGGGCGTCTTCTGGCTCCCCGCGGCGTTCCTGGCAAACACGCCGTGTTTTACCCGCCCGCCTGGTCTCTCCCCTTTGCCGCTCACCCCTCCCGCTCACTGCCTGACTTGGTGTGCGCGGCCTGGGCCGGGCACCGGGGGCCTCCGTCTCCTCTTCCACACGAGGGGGGTGGGGGTCCCAGTGCACCCAGGCCACTGTGGGATCTAAACACATTCAGCCCACACAGCCGCCGGTCTCACCATGACTTTATGGGCCCCATGGCAGCATCGTGCTCAGCAAGGCGACATGGATGTCCGCCGAGCCCGGGAGGGCTGAGGGGCGTTGAGCCGGAAGGCCGCCCACTGACGCTTTGGTGCCGTGGGTCTGCCCAGAGCACGTGCCGCGGGGCCGGAGGCCTCAGGCCTGGTGGCGAGCTCGCGCTATCCAGCTCTCTGCTAAGACTCAAAACACTGATTTCCTGGGCTTCTAGAGCATTCCGATGAAATGGGAGGCCTTGTCCAACATTTTGGGCGCTTCTTTCACAGGTAGCCACTCACGGAGACAGCCCTACAGGCTGCTGCTTGCGAGACAGCTTTGGGTAAAAGGAGCGCTCCTGGCCACCTGTTCTGTCGGCTTCTCCTGCTCTCACTTAACCTCCACCCCAGCGCCTCGCACTCAGAGCTCCGGGCGAGGGCGGGATCCCAAGGACAGGCAGTCGGCCCTGCCCAGCTGAGTACAGCCGATGCCCCCAGGGCTGCCCGCCTCTGCTGGCGGCGCCCCTTCTGCCCAGGCTGCGGCTGTGACGACGCCGGACCCCAGATGGCAGCTTCTCCCAAACCCATTGCATTCCACCACACCTTTCTCCTGGATGGCATCTTCCACAGGACAAAAGGTGCCGTTTCTTCCCGAAATGCGTTCTGTACAAGAGTGGGCACGTGCCGCTGGGAGCTCTCAGGACAGTGGCCTCCACTAGGAAGGTCTTGCCCCATGAACTTGTCTTGGGGTCTCTGGGGCCAGGACCCAAGGTCCTGTCTGAGGCTGCTCAGCGTCACTTAGCAAGAAGGGAAATGGTGATGATTGGCAGGCACAGACCCCGAAGACCTACTGGAAGCACCACAGGCTCAGTGGCAGGACCAGGGTGTGTGTGCAGGGGTGGGGCGGCGGGGGCCGAGTCCAGGGTGCTGGGCAGCGGTTCCCCCCCCCCCCCGGGGGGATAGGTGGGCTGGGAGAGGCAAGTTTGGAGGAAGGTTCTATTGGGAGGTGTAAGTGGCCTGAGTCTAGGAGAAACCCTGGGGATGTATCAGGAGAGAGGGTCAAGGTCCCCACGCCATAGTGAAACGGAGGGCGACAGGCCCAGGAAAGTCGGAGAAGGAAGGGGCAGGAGAGTCGCATCCTGGAGTTGAGGGCCAGGCTGTGCGGGGACGGGGCCTGGGAGGAGAGGTGGGTGAGGCTGATCTCGGCTGCAGTCGGGCAGGGCCCGCAGCGTGGCGGGGGTGGGGAGGGTAGAGGAGAGGGTGTCATGGTGGAGGGGCGAGTAGGTGGGAAATGGGGCCCCCCAGAGCTGCGAGGCACAGCTCTGCTCTGGAGGGGTGCAGGCAGAGCCGAGAGGGAGGACAGCAGGGTTTTATTTGTCACTTATTTTACATGAGAGAAGACTTCGGGGCACGTGTGATCCCGGGGGAATGCTCCAGAGAGAGGAGGGTCTAGGAGCTGGAGGAGGCAGGTGGGCCCGGCGGGCTTGAGTGGCCAAGTTCAGGTGCTTGCCCGACTGTAACCCTCTGGGTGTGGGCAGAGGGGCTGCCGCATCTGCCCGTCCTCTCTCCTTGGGAGAGACACTGAACCCCATGTCCTGCCAGGCCCCTTCTGCAGGGGGCTTTCCCCCAAGAGGGTGTCACCCTCTCAGGGTGATCACCAGGGCTGCGTGGTAACTGCACCTGGGACTGGCCACAGCCAAGTCCCTGAGGATCTGCCACCAGATGGGCTCCTGGGCAGGGGGCTGCCCACACCAGAGCCCCCACTCCTGGGACTGGCCCAGACCCTGTGGGATGGGAGCTAGGGGCCAGCTCAGCACGGGCAGGGTCCCTGAGAAAGGGCCAGCGTAGCTGGGGCTGGGAGGGGCTGCAAGGGCACGGGGCCCTGCCTCTGTGAGGACTGGCTGGCAGTTCAACTAGAAACGGCCAAAAGAGAACCAAGTGCCATTGAGGTTAAATGCAGGTGAATTTATTAGGTTTTCCAAGTGGTCTCTGAGGAGGTGAGACCACTGAGACTTGCATTGTGGACACGGTCCCCAAGCTGGCCACGGGGACACCAGGAGGAGTGAGCCAGTGGGCATGGGCAGGGTCATCCTGAGTTTGACAGGACTTCCTCCCCAGCTGAGAGGAGGAGGAGCTGTCAATGCACCTCAGGAGTTCTGAAGAGACAGATCCTAAAGGCAGCTGCAAAGCCAGCAGTCTCCCATTGTGCCCAGCTGGCCCTGGGGGGACATGCCTGGTCAGCAGCAGGTCTTCTGGGCTGAGGCAGGGACCCAACAGGCTGGGCGGGAGCACACAGGGCGGCAGATGAGGGACACGCAGGAGGATGGGCGGCAGCAGCTGGGCTGGCAGCAGGAGGAGGTAGGGGCACAGCAGGAGGAGACGGGCACACAGCAGGCAGGTTTACACACAGGGCGGCAGATGACAGACATGCAGGAGGAGGGTCTGCAGCAGGATGAGGGGCACGGAGTGGGCTGGCAGCAGGAGGGGGCTGAGCAGGGGGCAGCCCCAGAGCAGATGGGCACACAGCACACAGGCTTGCAGCAGATGGGTGTGCAGCAGACGGGCTTGCAGCAGACGGGCTTGCAGCAGACGGGCACACAGCAGGAGGGCTGACAGCAGCTGGAGGTGCAGCAAGTGGATGGGCAGCAGCTGGGGACACAGCAGGAGGGCTGGCAGCAGCTGGGGACACAGCAGGTGGATGGACAGCAGCTGAGGACACAGCAGGAGGGCTGGCAGCAGCTGGGGACACAGCAGGAGGGCTGGCAGCAGCTGGGGACACAGCAGGAGGGCTGGCAGCAGCTCTCTGGACAGTCGTCATCCTGCCCGGAAAAGTCAGTGCAAGAGTCACTGGAACCGGGCAAGCAGATGCGGTTGCCGTAGCTCAGGTTGCTGGAGCAGACGGACAGGGTGGAGGCGGCCATGGTGGGTGGTGGGGGCTGGAAGATGGTGTGAGTGTGTAAGTGTGTGTTTGAGGGAGTGGGTGTGAGATTGTGTGAGCTGCTTGGGGTGACTGGGCTTATATACAGTCAGGGGTGCGTGTGTTTTCCCATCACGAGGGCACAAAAGAGTCTGTTTCCTTGTTGTTCTTGGCGTGGGTCCCTGAGGACGCTGTGCACCCACGACAGACAGCTCAGCTCGTTAAACCCCTGAGAGGTCGGAGCCCAGGGCCTACGGAGCCGGGGTGCAGGGGACGCGTCCACAGCTGGGGCCAGGCCTGGGCTTGGACCCAGGAGGGCCGGTAATTCCAACAGCCCCACTCTGGGCGCCTTTCTGGGGCTTCTTACTATTACCTCTCCTATTTCTCAATGCTCGGTTGAATCATAAGCATATTTTGTTCTTTTTCTATCCTCTTTATTTTGGGGTGTAATTCTTTCCTGAATCCATAAACCAAGGAATACTTGGGAGCTATGTTTATTTTTATTGCATTAGCAAACACTTAAAATAATAGCTCTTGCTATGCCAGCAACTATTCTGGGCAACTTAATAAATGTGAACTCTGCAACGCTCACAGCAGGCTTGTAAAGTAGGAGTTGTTGTTGTTCCCACTCTACAGATGGGGAGACTGAGGCACAGCTAAGAACTTGCACCAAAACCATGCTAGCAAGCAGGAGAGCCCGGGTCAGAACCTAGTGGGCCCATGTTCTTAACCAGCGAGCAGAGAGACACAGGAAGACTCGAGAAATCTGGGCTCTGTGGGAGGGGCGGGGGGACAGGGTGACGCTGGATTGGAAACTGCGGTGGGAGGTTCACGTGGGAAGGCACCGTGGGTGCCCGGAGCCTGGGAGCTAGCTCTGAGAAAGGCGCTTGTTCTAGGGAAGGCGAGACCACGAGCGTTCGTTTACCTGCAGGAGGGCAGGTGGACTGGGTGACATGGCGGTGAAGGGAAGCCACCGTCCAGAGGGGTGTCTAGGGGGCTGGGAGGTTTCTTTGGGGAGGCGAGTGGTTTTTAAAGTCAAGAACAAAGACGTGCTGCCAACTGTAATTGAAAAATAAAACTTAAAAAAAAAAAAGCAAAGACATTCTACATGCAGGGGTGTCCAACCTGCGATCCATGCAGCCCAGATGGCTGTGGCTTCGGCCCAAGGCAAGATCGTAGATGTACTTAAAACATGATGAAATTTTTTGTGATTACATGTCACAACGTATTTAACGTGTGGCCCAAGACAGCTCCTCTTCCAGTGTGGCCAGTGGCGCCAAAAGGCTGGACACCCCTGTTACAGCCTGCTCTGCTGAGAGCTCTGCGGACCTCGGCTAGGAGGGGCTGAAGTAAGTAGAGGGGGGCTGCTTGGCTAGACCCAGGGGCCCAGAGGGTGGGAGAGGGGAGAGCTGACGGAGTGAGATGCTCTCTGAGACGTAGGCCCTGACTGGCAGGTTTGCCCATGGCAGGGTGTGCGCATGCCCACCGTGGCTGGTTTCTGGCCGTCAGCAGTTCAACAAGCAGCTCCCCAAAGTCCTGGCTGGGGCACAGCTGGCTGTCAGGGGCTGCAGGAGCAGGCACACTGGGTGGGGGGGGCAGGGACTCGGAGAAGAAAGGGGTCTCTGATGCTGAAGGTCCTGGCCACGCTGGGGGGAGTCTGAGCCAAGTTGGGGCACGGCACGTGGGAGGCCCCTGGCACGTGGCCTTAGATTATGAACATCCTTGGGCTTCCTCTACGAGGCCACGTGAATCGGCACTTCTGGTGCTTTCCTGGTTGTGTCGTACGCAGCCCACCATTCGGACACACTAGACTCACCGTGTTTGCCCGCTCACCCGGTTGTTTGCACCTCTGGGCTTCTGTGAACGAGGCTGCAGAGCAGATTGGAGCCCCCCCCCCCCCGCCTGTCTAGTTCTACTGGGTCTATTCTTCGGAGAAGAAGTTCTGGGTCACGTGGTCAGTCTACGTTTAACTCTTTGCGGAACTGCCAAAAATGTCTCCACAGCGGCTGTGCTGTTTTATATCCCACTGGAAATGTTGGAGGGTTTGGAGTTCTCCATATCCTCAACACCACCTGTTAATTTCCTTCTTCTTTTTTTAAAAAAACGACAGCGATTCTAAGAGGTAGGAAATAGTGTCTCGCCGTGGTTGTGGTTCGCATTCCCTCCCTGGCTGATGGGGAGTTCCCGTCCACCCGCTTCTCGGCCGTTCGTGTCTTCCTGGGAGAGACGCCGGCTCGAGTCCTCGGCCGCTGTCCAGCCCAGGTGTCCATCCTCGTGCTGCTGCGTGGCGGGAGCTCTTCCTGCGTTCTGGGTGCTAGACTCTTACTGTACGTACGACGCGCAAATATCTTTCTTCCCATTCTCTATATTGTCCTTTTGGTTTTTTGGATCATGTCCTTTGAGTCACACAAGAGCTACATTGTGATGAAGTCCAATTTATTTACTTTTTCCTTTGCTCTCCTTGCTTTTGGTGTCAACTCTAAGAATCCATGGTCAAACCGAAGGTTATGAAGCATTATTTCCTCTGTGTTGTCTCCTAAGACTTGTTTGGTGTATCTCGTATGCTCTAGTTGCTGATCCATGTTGAGTTCCTTTTTGTGCGTGGGGTGAGACAGGGGGTCCAGCTGCATTCTTTTTGCCCGTGGAAACCTGGTTTTCTCAGTATCTTTCCTTGAAAAGATGATTTTTTTTACCCCAATAAATGGTCTTGAAACCCTTGTCAAAATCAGTTGACCATAAACACATAGGTTTATTTCTGGTATCTCAATTCTGTTCCAGTAGTCTGATAAAAAAAAATACATATTTTTGATCTAGCTGAAATTTTTCTTGGACAGAAGTAAAGACTTAAATATGTACATGTGCCACAAGCATAATTTTTTTAGGCCACGAACTGACATTTCCTCATACATTTAGAAATCCTTTGCAAGTGCCTTGTTTAGGGCAAGAACTGCGGGGGAGGGGACAGTGTTCTCGCTCTGCCCTGAGTTTCCATCTGCCTCTCGGTGCCCGGCCCACGGAGGGGACCTCTAAATGCACCCGTCTGTCCCCAGTGGAGACTGGTGCTCTGTGTGCAGCGACGCTGGTCGGGCTGGGTCGGGGGCGGGAGGGCTCGCTGTCACCCTTGCCCAGTGCCATCCGCCTGGAGAGCCCTGCTCACCTGGGACTCGGAGGGCGAGGTTTCCCTGGACGTCCTGCCGCTCTCTCCCCTCCCCCGCAGGACAGCCAGACTCCACTTTGCACGTGTCGGGGTTCGTGCGAGAGCCTCCCGCCCGCCCTGTTGCAGTGACCCTTCAGGGCACTGTGGGACCCGGGGTCCAGCCCGGGGTTCTGTCCTCCACTCAGCTGCAGGGAGGTTTTCCCTCTGCCCTTCCCCACCTACAATGTTTTCAGTGGCAGATGTGGGGACAGCACCTTCCCCTACCCCTCCACCCGCCAAGGGCCCCCACCTTCTGCTGAGCTTTCTGGGGAGAGCTCTTTGAGAAGGGGCCGCTGTGCTTAGGCAGGTATCCACCTTTAGGGGAAGAATTTTTAAAAAATGTGAAGGTAAAACAGAGGGACGAGCTGCATTGAGAAAGCACATTTTATTAGCCTCACACAGGGTGAGGTTTCCCGCTGAGGACGGAGGAGGAGCCTGAGCACCAGGGCTTCCCTGGGGGGTGCACGGGGTCGCACGGGATCCAGATCACCCTGCCGCACTCTCGTGCCGGAGTTCAGGGCGCCTGTTGAACATGCTTTTCATCTCCCACCCGCACAGCTGGAGGCCTGCCGAGGTCTCAGGGTGGGAGAGGTGCAGGTGCAGTCCCATCTGCACTGGGAGCGGCCGGGTAGGAGAGTCAGGGTCAGCAGCAGGAAGGGGTGCCACAGGAGATGGGTCTGCAGACCAGGGTGGGGCAGGAGGGCTGGATGCACCCAGAGGATTGGCAGGAGGAGGCCACGCACACGACGGGCCTGCAGCTCACAGGCAGGCACACGGAGGGCTGGCAGGAGGGGGCGGTGCACACAATAGGTGTGCAGCTCACGGGCACACAGCAGGTGGTCTGGCAGCTCACCGGCACGTACACAGCTGGCCTCCAGCCCGTGGGCAGGCACACGGGGGACTGGCAGGAACTGGGCGAGCAGCAGCCAGCCTGGCAGCCTGTGGAGCAGCTGGTGTGGCACATGCTGTCGTGGGGCTGGCTGGTGTCGTGTGGGGGGGCGGTGGTGACTGCAGGCTCTTTCCCTGGTGGCCTTTATACCCAGGCTGTGGCCGTCCCGGCCCAACTGTTGGTCCCCCGTGGCTGTTTGCAGGTGTTTCCCCCGCATCGTGTTTCCTGGGACGCACTGTCCTGTGTTGGGCTCCCCATGAGTACGCTTGGCTTGGAGGCCCTGTTCCCCTTCTGTAAACAGGGTGATCCGGTTTGACGACGTGGCCCGGCGTGGTTTCCCCAGGCCACTGTCGTGCACAGGTCCCCCCTGGCTCGGCCCCGAGTGCTGTGTCCTTCTGGTCACGTTTGTCTCATGCCATCAGGGAAGACTTGAGGCAATAACGTAGTTTGAACTTTTATTCGGCACAGGAAACACTAAAGCAGGAGTCTGCAAACTGAGGTCTGCGGTGTGAGTCTGGCCCACTGCCTGTTTGTTAATAAAAGTTCCATTGGCAGCAGCCTGGTCCATGTCTCTGTGGCCGTCTAGGGCGGCCTTCGCACAAGCCTGCCGAGCACTCACGGGAGAGACCTCGTGGGACAGCAAAGCCTGAAATGCTTACTGTCTGCCCTCCACAGAACGGGTGCCCGGAATCCACACAGAAGTTGACTTGTTGATGCAACAAAAGGGCACACACCGTGTGCTCTCAGTGGAGATGTGCTGGCCTCGTGAGCCTGCCGGGGCGACGAATAAATGAGTGACTGGAGAAATGAATGCCCGCATCATTCCAGGGAGGGCTGAGCCCCAGACAGAGAGTCGGGGAATGCTGAGGGGGGGTGGCTGAGGGTGGTGTGCAGGGTCAGGGCTCGTGTCCCAGGCAGAGGCTCCGTGGGGTGGGAGGTCCCTGCTGTAGAAACGGGCACAATCCAGAGCAGGGGGCAGCCCCACAGTGGTGTGAGCAGCAGGAAGGGGTGCCACAGGAGATGGGTCTGCAGACCAGGGTGCTGGGGTGCTGGGGCACAGGCGCAGGGGGACAGATTCAGGCCTCGCCACCGGAGCTGGTAGAAGAGGAAAGAGTTGGTGAACTTGACACGTTCGTAGACATGATCCAATCTGAAGAAGAGGGAAAAAGAACTAAGGAAAGTGAAAAGGACCCCTGAGACATCAAAAAATAAGTACTTTTAACTCAAGAAGGAGAAGAGAATGACACTGAAGTATAAGAATATCTTGAAGACATAGAGACGAAATTCCCAAGCTGGATTAAACATATTCTAACTTATAGACAGAACGCCCAGCTGGCAGGAGGTGGCTGAGGGGCACACAGGCTGCCATAACAGGGCCACACAGGGGACGTGACAGCAACTCCCACAGCCGAAGTGAGGTCGGCAGGCGTGGCACAGCCCACGGGACCGGTAGAGCAGCTGGCTTGGCACGTGGTGGCGTGAGCCTGGAGCGGGATCCGGGCAGCGGAGAGAGCTGGTTCTCCCAGCTCCTCCCCCCCCGCCCCGCGGCCTTTACAGCAGGCCACAGCGTCCCGGCCAACGAGCCTTCTGCACCTTCCTCGTGGCTGCCTGGCTGGGCTTTCCTCCTCTTCCCTCTCCATGGGCCTCTTCTTGGTTGAAGTGACCCAGTCTGGAAGCTCCTTCTTGGCTGGAAGTCACTGGGACCCAGTGGCCTCATAAGTTCTGGAACCAAGGCCCAAGTTGAATAGCGAAGGGTCATCAGTTGGGGACAGTGGATGGATCTGTCATGATTTTCAAGGTCCGTCCCAATATTAAATACCCTGTCCTCTGACCACACAGCACGGTCCCACTCACTGCACCTGGGGCTCACCGTTTTGGTTTGGCGATCCAGAAGGTTTTCCCAAACAACGAGAGCCTCACTGTGGGGTCCTGCGGGGAGTTCATGATCCCACGAATGCAAACAATCACAACGGACCTAGCTTGGTGCCACCTGCTAAGTGTTTGCACGGACTGTCTCATAACTGACTGCGTTCCAATCCCGCCCCTGTCTGGAGACGGGGGCGGTGCATGTCCTGCCGCAGCAGACGGAGAGCAGGCGTGCGCAGCTGCTCAGTGTCCTCCGGAATCCGTGCTCTTGGCTGCTGTGCTGACCTGTGCTGGCCTGTGTGCAGCTCAGTCGCCTCCTGCGGGCCGGCCTGCAGCCGCTGCTCCCTGAGCTGCCCAGCAGTCTGTGGCCAGGCCTCCTCCTGCAGCCCGGTCTGCTGCACACCCGGCCCCTGCCAGGCGATGGTCCCTGAGCCGCAGGTCAGGTAGCCTGCTGTGGGCCCGTGCACTGCGGGCCCACGGTGCGTGGCCCCCTGCTGCCAGGCCTGTGGGTGCTGCAAGCCCTCCTGCTGCATCCCCTGCAGACTGGCCCCTGTCGCACACCCTCCTGATGCTGAGCCTGTGACGTCTGGGACCCCTCCTCGTAGGGTCAGGAGCAGCCTGGTGTATGATCTCCTGCGGGGCTGTCTGGATGTCCACTTCAGACCCTTTGGGCCCGGCCAGGCCACCCTGTGGCAAGGCCGTCTGATCCCAGTCAGACAGGCTAAGGGACCTGCCCCCAGGGCCCCTGGCTGGGCCTGGTTCATTCCATCCTGACAGGTGCCCGCGTCCAGGGCCTAACAAATATCAGCGTACGATGCTCACCCAACTGTGGTGACGTCTCCCCTTCAGAGTCTCTCCCTAAATGGATCCTCTGGAGGTGGTTTCCCGAGAATTCTGGAAAGTTCCTTCTACAGAGAGGGCCCTGGTGGCCGTGGCTGTGGCCAGGACTGACTGCTCAAAGGTCACCTCTAAGGTGACAGGCATGCTCCTAGGGCCCAGCCACGTGGGAGAATTCCAGGGCCTCCTTTGTCCCACGCTGTCCCTTGAACTTATGAGGTCAGTTCTTAGCCTGCTGCAGGCGGAGCTGAGGGCAAACCACCAGCTTCCTGACCTGACCCCTTTCAGGTCAAAGGTCTCCTGCTCCTACTCTAACTAAAGTCAGAACTGCACGCGCCATTGAAAAGCACGGCTCCTCCTCCTCCCGGTCGGCGGGAGAGGGCTTGGGGGACAGCTCCTGTGGCCCCCCAGAGATGTCAGTGTCCTCGTCCCAGAGTCTGTGAATATGTTCCTTAAGGCAAAGTGACTTTGAAGATGGGAGTCGGCTAAGGATTTGGTGGTGGCAGATGATCCTGGGTCAACCAGGGGCCCGATATTATCACAGCAACTCATGAGGGACACGAGGGGGACTGGGCTACAGGAGAGAAGGCTCCGGAAAGATGGGAGCAGGACACTAGGCTGCCGGCTTGGAGCATGCAAATGCGCAATGAGGTGGGCACCTCCAGAAGCTGAAAGGGACAAGGAACAGATTCTGTCCAGGAGTCTCCAGAAGGGCCCAGCCCTGCCCAGGCTGTGACCTCAGCCCACAGAGCCCCACGCCGGGTTCCGGCCTCCAAAGCTGTGAGGCAGTGAATTTGTGTTGCTCCAGCCACTGCATTCGTGGGCACGTGCTCTGGCCACAGGACAGAGCTTCTAATGTCCACTCTGCCTCCATGATGCTGCTGACTGCAAGGTGACCGTCGGACGGGAGAGGCACAGGGGAGAGGAGGTGGTGTCCACACTGGGCTACAGCTGCCCCACCCGCCCTGCTGTGCAGGCTTGAAACCCCGCCTTCCTCTGTGGGCTCCTCCCACTGAGCCCTCTGCCCCACGCCCACTGGCCAGGGGAGGGGCACTGTTCTGTTCTCCGGTGCTTGACAGCAGGGTTCCTTCTGCCCAGGTCCGTCCTGCTTGGACTGAGTCCACCTTGTCCTTGTCCCCAGGCGTCACCTGGACAGTGGTGGCTCTCAGGCAGCCTTGCCCTTAGTCCTCTGACCCATGGAGCATCCAGCATAGTTTCTGGTTCTGTTGGTCCTCCCTGCAGGCAACATTGTCACACACACCCTGACCCATAGAACCTTTTCTGCTCCCCAAAACACCCTTAACCCGGACAGGCAGGGGGACAGGTGTGGGCAGGAGCCCACATCCACTCAGGGTTCCTGCCTCCAGCACCTACACCCGCCTCCTGGGCCCAGCCTGGGAGGACCGCCCACTGCAGGGAGGGTGGGCTGCTGGGGTCGGAAAGGGAAATGAGCAGGCAGATGGCATCACTCCCAGATCTGTCACCCAGCTGCTCTGAACTTGGATTTGAGAACATGGCCTTATTGTCTAGCTTCTGCCACAGGAGCACACAGGTTTGGAGTGGCTGAGGGGCTCAAGAGAGGAGGAGAAAGCAAACACATATTTCCTGGCACAAACGTTTTATTGATTATACCAATTGGCCTTTGTCACATAGAGAGCAAGCAGTTGGTCCTACAGAGGAGGGTCCTGGGGTCCCGCACTCCACCCTGTGGTGAGGGATTTGTGGTCATCTTTTGTCAAAAAGGGACAGGCAGCATGTTCAGACGTGCACTAGGCAGCAATTGTGTGTCCACTGATGGGAGAGGGGAGGTCCAGGCACTGGCTGAGGGGCCTCAGGGCCACGTGGGAGGGGAGAGCTGTGCTCAGGAGTGAAGGCAGCAGCTCGAGATCAAGCTGGTCAGCAGCAGGATGTCTGGGCCACTGGGGCAGGGACACAGCATGCAGGTCTGCACACAGGGCGGCAGATGAGGGACACACAGGAGGATGGGCGGCAGCAGCTGGGCTGGCAGCAGGAGGAGGTGGGGGCACAGCAGGAGGAGACAGGCACGCAGCAGGCGGGTCTGCACACAGGGCGGCAGATGACGGACATGCAGGAGGAGGGTCTGCAGCAGGGGGTCGGCTGGCAGCATGAGGGTGCTGGGCAGGGGGCAGGCCCAGAGCAGATGGGCACAGAGCACACGGGCTTGCAGCAGACGGGTGTGCAGCAGACAGGTGTGCAGCAGATGGGCACACAGCAGGCCTGCTGGCAGGGGGAGGAGGTACAGCAGGAGGGCTGGCAGCTAGACTGCTGGCAGCACAAGGTTGTACAGGAGCTGGTGCAGGCTGATTGGCAGGGGCTGGGCCCACAGGTCACAGGGGTGCAGAGGAGGGTCTGGGTGGGGATCAGGGTACAGCAGCTGGGGGTGCAGCAGGAGGGCTGGCAGCAGCTGGGGACACAGCAGGAGGGCTGGCAGCAGCTCTCTAGACAGTCGTCCACCTGCCGGGCGAAGTCAGTGCAACAGTCACTGGAACCGGGCAGGCAGACACGGTTGCCATAGCTCAGGTCAGTGGAGCAGATGGACAAGGTGGAGGCAGCCATGGTGGGGTGGTGGGGCTGGAGGTGAGCTGGGAGGAGTGTGTGAGTGTGTGTGTGTGTGAGTGTGAGTGTGTGAGGTTCCAAGGCTGTTGGCTTTTATATCCTCCCTGGCTTGTGTTGTTCCACCACGCAGCTCCCCACGCCCTTTCTTCCTTGTTGGGGCTGAGCGCCTGTTGCAGGAGAGCCCTCATTAGTGCCCGAGTATTTCCTGCCATCAGTTTCCAGTCATTCAGCTTGTGAGTGTGTTGCAGGATGAGCTTCCCATCTCTTCTTGTTTGGCTCCAGAAAACTTATGGAAAATATCTGAGGCAAGTTTTTGCTGAGTTGATGATCAGCTGTGACTACTCTCCAGTGATGAATTCTGGTTCCGTCTCTCCTGTGTTCGTCGTGGCTTAACATTTTTTATGCATGTAAGCATTTTAAAACATAAGTATACAATGAAACTCGCTCATATTATAACTACATCTGCACACAGGATTGGGTCGTAGGAAGCTCCTGTTCCAAACACCCCACCCCTGCGAGGAGTTTCAGCGTCCCGGGAATGGCTCCTTCTCTTTCCTCTTGGCATTTCCCCCATAACACACTCAGACACCTCCTTTGTCAGACTACAAGCAATACTGGGTTTTCCCATTTCCATTTTGCTGTGGGAAAAGATCGAAGGCTTTTTCACACGTGTTGGTGGGTTTTACGTTTGAAGATTCCTTGTGTATCTGCAGACACATTGAGTTACCGCCACACTCATCATGATAGTTTGGCTGGGTATAGAATTCAGGTTTGTTTGTTTGTTTAAAAATTTTATTTATTTATTTTTAGAGAGAGAAGGGAGGAAGAAAGAGAGAGAGAGCGAAACACCAATGTGTGGTTGCTGGGGGCCATGACCTGCAACCCAGGCATGTGCCCTGACTGGGAATCGAACCTGCGATGCTTTGGTTCGCAGCCCGCACTCAATCCACTGAGCTACGCCATCCAGGGCTGTTTGGTTTTTTTAATCCTCACCTGAGGACATTTTTTCCATTTTTTTTAGAGTGGGAAGGGGTAGGGGAGAGAGAGAGAGAGAGGGACATCTCTGTGAGAGAGAAACATCGGTTGGCTGCCTTCCCGTGCTCGGCCTGACTGGGGGCCAAACATGCCACACCCTGAGTGTGTGCCCTGACCAGAAATCGAACCTGGGAGCTTTTGGTCTATGGGAGGACGCTCCAACCAACTGAGCCACACCGGCCAGGGCGAGAATTCAGGTTCTAAGGAATAGCTTCCTCAAAATATCAAAGACGCATTTGCATTTCTTCACGGGGTCCCGTGTTCCCGATGAGAGCGAAGCTGTCACTTGTTATTTATAGTTTGTTTGTTTACTTAGTTATTTATTGAAGTCTGCGAGAGCATCTGCCTCTCTCCCCACCTCATTCTGCAATGTCCTACTGTGGCTCCCAGACTCGCGTGTTGCTCTGCATCCTGTGGTGAGAGCTCCTCGTGCCTCTCCATGGGGAGGCCCGCCCAGACCCTACATGTACGTTTGCACCATTACCACCTTTATGCCGCTTAAACAGGGGCCCGCTTCCCTGTGCCCTGCCGCAGGGGCTCCGTTAGGTGTCCGATCTCCTGGGCTTGCCTTCACGTCTCTCCCTTTTTCTCTCCTTTTCCTTATGAAGGAAAATGTTTATTGTTTGCCTTCTTCTCTGGGAGATGCTTCCTGACTTCATCTTTCAGACCACAGTTCAGTCTTTCATTTCTTGTCTAGTATTAAGCCTTTACATCGACTTTCCCCTAATTTTTAAAAATCTTTTAAAAAATGTTTCCGTTCAAGTCGACATCCATCACCACCTTAGTTTCAGGTGAGCGGCCCTGTGATCTGATACTCCATAACTCACTGAGTGGGCATCCCGATAAATCTTGTTCCCCTAACTTTTCTTTTTCAAACATTGTTTGGTTATTTATTTTTTCTGTAGCAGCTGGATTTTGTCCCATGATGTGAGTGAGATACACTCCCTGTAACTCTGATGACGCCAGTGAGCGTTGGTGCAAGCTTCCCAGTGTTTCCTAAGCGGTCTGTGTGTTTCACTGTGCGTCAGATGAGGCTGCTCCTTGGTGTCAGGCATCCGGTTTTTGGTGTAAAAGACTGAGCGATTTTATTCTTATGCATTGGGGCCCTGTTCCAATTTGCACTAATCTGTTTCCTTCTGCTTCTCTTTTTTACAAATTTATAGGGAGTCCTGGTGAGCCCTCTTCTTGTTGTCCTGTTTTGGTCTGGTCTTCCTCATGCCTTTTGAAATGTCCTTCCGGTGGGTCCTGAGGGGCTGTGTGAGAACCTTGGGCCTCCTCCACTTTCCAGAGCAGAAGGAGCTCCTGTTGTTTTTGGGAAATGATGGAAACATGGATGATAACCACAGGGCTATGTGGCATTATGGGGCTTCACTCTTAGACGTGCTCTGTCTCAGCCTGAGTGCTTTCCAAAGGCAACCAATGCGCGGCGACCCACTTTTGTAGACACAAGAATGTTGCCAGAAGGAAAGTGTCCTGTGAAAGAGGACCGTGATCAGTGGGAAACCTGGGAGCCCAGGGTCTGACGGTTCTCTCTTGGCCATAAGGGGCTCTGCTTCGTCCCCCGCTCCGCCTCCTCGCTCCCGCCCTGGGCAGCCATGGGCTCTGTGGGTGGGAATGCGGAGGGACTGTGGGCTCGAGGCTGGGGGACTTGGGAAGCCTGACATCAGCTTCTGGGATGAGTGTAATGGTTTCCCCTCCTGTCCCCCAACCTGTCCCGGGGTCCAGCTCAATGGCATGGGTGTTAGGACTCTCCACGTCTCCTGGGTGTCATCTGTGGCCCATGACCTTTCATGTAGCTCCCTTCTCTGTGGCCTGTGGACTGTCTGTGTTGCTGGCCAAGGTGTCTTCCTGCTGTCACTGCCCCAAGCACAACTCTTCAGCAGGGTGAGTGGGGCTCCTGGATCAGGGAGCCTTGGGTTGGGGCTGACGGGGCAGGTGCAGCGAAAGAGCAAACGGTCAGCTGATTTTTGAAAACAGGAAGAAGTCTCTGGGCATCTGAGTGAGCGCCACAGTGCATGCGTGGTTCACCGTTTGTGGCGGGGCCACAGCAGGGGCGGCTCAGAGGGGAGAGGGTCCGGAGGGCCGTGGGGCAGAAGCTGCACCCACGCACGTTTCCTTCTCCCTCCCCAAAGTGTGTGCTTTCCCTTCATGCTGCTCTTATATCATTGACGGGAGGACAGCACCAGGGGAGGGCTGACCACGAAGCCATTGCGTCTTGCTCCTGGAGCTGGTGACAGCGCCGCCTGCGTCTCACGGCTCAGTGGGAGTTCCTGGGTGTAGCAGGGCTCTCACTGTGTTCGAGAAGCTTCTTCCTGCCCGTGGTTCACCCAGAGTTTTGCTTTGGGCTTTTACGCAAAGAAGGAGTTGAGCCCTCTGTGTGTGCATATCCATCTAGGACGAGTTCTAATGGCTTTTCTGCTTCCACTTATCAGGATAGTTAATTATACCCTTTCTGAGTTGCATCCTGAGATACACTCTACTCAGTCATGGCTTGTCATGTAGTTTCATATTGAATTCGTTAACACTGTAGTTAGAATCCCCTACTTCATTTTCTTAAGTGAGATTGGTCCACTGCCAGGTTCTCTCTCTTTTTTTCCCCCGTCTCTATCTTGCTGCTGGTTTGACGTGTAACCTGGTGGTCACTGGCGCCAATCCAGCACCAACACGCATCCCCATTCTGGGGTGCAGGAAACTTTCTTCAGTGCAAACCGCGCAGCTGTGACCCAGTGGGCTGTGGGTGGCCCGGGGCCAGGCCCATCTCCTGCTACATGGCTCTGCTCCACTCCCCGCCACTCCCGAGAGGCGCATCGGGGCGTCCCCAGCCCTGTTAGGTGAACCCAGGAAACCTCTGGCTCGCCTTAAGCTCTGGAATGTTTTCAATACCATAAGAAACAACTCTGTGTTGCAGGCGGACAGTATGCACCTCTATGACTTTCCAAGTCTGCGCCTTTGAAGTAATTAGATCTTTCCATCTATTTTCAACATTGTCTTTGGCTCTCCTTGCATTACGATTTTTATTTTGTTAGTCAATGTACGCAATTTACGTTTTTAAGAACATGGTTTATTTCACTTCTATTTTCAAATTGGAACTGGAATGAGGTTTTTTCTTTTAAACAGATTTATTAAGATATAACTCACATGCCTTAGTGTTCACCCGCTTAGAGTGCACAGCCCACGGCCTTCCGTGCATTTGCAGAGCTTGCAACCGTCGCCATCATTTAATTTTAGAGCGCCCTCCCAGCCCCCAAGCCCACCAGCCACCGCTCCCCGTTTTCTCCTCCACTCAGCTGCTGGCAACCGGCAGCCCAGTTTCTGCCTCCCTGGACCCCCCCTCTTCTGGACGTTTCGTACAAGTGGAATCGGCACCACAGGCCCTTCCTGTCTGGCTTCTGTCACTCAGCACGCTGTCCTCGAGGTTCACCCGCGGTGTGGTGTGTCAGAGCCCTGCTCCTGTTCACGGCTGAGTAATATTCCAGCGGGCGGCCAGACCACAGTCTGGGTTGGCTCCTCTTCGTGGTCATCGAGAACCGTGCGGCTGTGCACTTGACATGTGGGTTTTTTGGTCGAGCACTGGTTTTCGATTCCGACCGGTAGATGCCTGGAAGTGGACTAGTGGGGTCCTATTGTGACTCCGAGTCTGAGGAACTTTCCCCCAGTGGCTGCATCTAGAACCGAGGTTCCGAGGCAGCAGAAAAAGGCACCCCCTGGAGCATTCTCGGAGGGCGGGGCTGAGATGATCCGTGAGGAGTGCTCCCAGGAAATCAGGGAGACTGGGTCCTGCAGTGCCTTTGACGACGGTGCACTGAGGTGACAGGACCAAGTGGGAGGGGTCACGGAGTGAGCCCTGGGCCTCCCTGCCACTGTCTGCTCTGACCCTGGGTGGCAGAGGGCACAGAGGGGAGGTGATGGGGACCACTGTGTGTTGAAGCCCAGGACAAAGATTTGGGCCCCAGCAGCCACCCTGGACCCACAGCAAGAAGACCGACATTTCTGCCCTTGGTGCTCTCACTTTGTCCCTTTGCAGGGACCTGGCTTTGCTTCCAGGAAGGCGGCCACCTTTCGAGCCTGTTTCAGGCTGGTCTCTGGCCCTGGCTGCCTGTCCTGGGGGTGCTGCTTCAGGGAGGAGTGAGGGAGACGGCTGTCGTGCCCTCAGCGAGCACAGTGGGTCAGGACCAGGGCTGGACGCTGTCTGCCCTGCTGCCTATGCCTGGTGACACAGCTGGTTGCATGGGCCTGTTTACCGGGGCAGGGCGAGGTGCAGGGTCCTGGATGGGCACAGCTGCCCGGCACAAGGGAGTGTCTGAGCCCAGACCGGAGGGCAGAAGGCAGATTGCAAGGGGCTGTCCAGAAGGGCCTGGGGACTCTGGGGGTGTGGGATGTACCGGTGAGGGCACTCATGTGGGGCACAGACACCAGGGGGCCTGGTACAGTGACAGCAGGATGGGGCTCGGGAGCAAGCATCTGTGAGGGTGTCAGACAAGGGTGCGGGTCCAGGAGCATGGTTCGGGAGGTAGCCAGGAGCTCCGCAGATCTCTAGGGGAAGCTGCACAGGGCTGGCTCTTCGGTCCGTGGGCACCGTTAACCTTGCTGCATTTCTATCCTCACTGGCCGCACCTGAGAGAGGGCCAGGGAGAACCCATGGCTGCTGGGTTGTCGTTCCTGGCCAGGGCACCCCTCTCACGTCTCACCGGGCTGGGGGTGAGGTCAGGTGAGCTGGAGGAAAGGCAGCCTTGCTAGGCTGCCCAGCCGGGCACTGCAGTCCTTGGGCTGGTCTAGTGGGAGGTGACCAGGTGGGTGAGGCCCCTGGGGGGTGCCGCGGGCACCCACACACAGCCTGCATCTGGGGCAGCCACAGAGCTACAAAGGCCCGTGTGGCTCAGGGGCTCGTGGCTGCTGCCAAGGGGTGGAGGAGGTGACCACTGTGTCCCATAGCCCCAGGCCTTTGTTCCAGAAGCAGCTTTACAGAGATAGGCCTGGGGACTGGAGGCTGGATTGGGGTCCTACAGGGCTTAAAGGGGGCCTGGCTTGTGGGGTTCACAGAGACCAGCACCTGGTGTCCCGCATCACTGGCCCCACTGAGTCCACAGACAAGCAGAAGGTCAGAGTGAAACAGGTGGTTTTATTAGGGCTCAGTGGTGACGTTACTGCCCGGGGTGGGAGCAGGCCTGCCGGGGCAACAGGGCTCATACGGGGGCTCAGGGGGCAGGGTGGGGCTATGGTGGGGGGCGCATCTGTTCACCAACATCAGGAAAGGTTTGGTGGTTATTGAGGGTCCAGATGAGGAGAAGGAGCTTGTCCCGTCTCTTGCTGTTGTGAAAGCCACAGTGGGTGTCACTGGGAAGTCAGCCTACTGCTGGGGAAGGACCCTAGATGAGGCCTAGAAAGAGTCAGCAGCGGGACTTCAGGGCCGAGGCACGGACACAGCAGGCTGGGCGGGAACACACGGGGCGGCAGATGAGGGACACGCAGGAGGCCGGGCGGCAGCAGCTGGGCCGGCAGCAGGAGGAGGTGGGGACACAGCAGGAGGAGACAGGCACGCAGCAGGCGGGTCTGCACACAGGGCGGCAGATGACAGACACGCAGGAGGAGGGTCTGCAGCAGGGGGTCGGCTGGCAGCATGAGGGGGCTGGGCAGGGGGCGGCCCCAGAGCAGGCGGGCACAGAGCACGCGGGCTTGCAGCAAACAGGTGTGCAGCAGACAGGTGTGCAGCAGACGGGTGTGCAGCAGGAGGGCTGGCAGGGGGAGGAGGTGCAGCAGGAGGACTGGCAGCTAGACTGCTGGCAGCACAAGGGTGTGCAGGAGCTGGTGCAGGCTGATTGGCAGGGGCTGGGCCCGCAGGTTGCCTGGCAGCAGGGGCTGGACACACAGCTCACTGGGGCACAGATGAGGGTCTGGCAGGTGGCTGGGGCACAGCAGCTGGGGACACAGCAGGAGGGCTGGCAGCAGCTGGGGACACAGCAGGAGGGCTGGCAGCAGCTGGGGACACAGCAGGTGGGCTGGCAGCAGCTGGGGACACAGCAGGAGGGCTGGCAGCAGCTGGGGACACAGCAGGAGGGCTGGCAGCAGCTCTCTGGACAGTCGTCCACCTGCCAGGAGGCGTCAGTGCAAGAGTCACTGGAACCGGGCAGGCAGACGCGGCTGCTGTAGCTCAGGTCGCTGGAGCAGACAGACAGGGTGGAGGCGGCCATGGTGGGCGGTGGGGCTGGAGGTGAGCTGGGAGGAGTGTGTGAGTGTGTGAAGGTGAGTGAGTGTGTGAGGTACCCGGGGCTGTCGGCTTTTATACTCCTCCCCGGGTGCGAGTGTGTTGCCCCAGCAGGCAGCCCCCACGCCCTCCCTTCCTTGTTGGTGTTGCCCTGTGAACACCTTCATTACGGTCAGCCCTGTTGTCATGAGATGTCCTTGGTCATCTCATAAAGTTTAGGCTGCCCTGCGCAGGGCTGGCTGCCCCTGGCCAGAGTCTGACCCCGGCAGGGACACCTTGAAGGAAGCCACAGCTTCTCTTCAGCTGACCCTGCAGTTTCCCCCCGGTGAGTCATGTGCCAGGGCACCGGGTGACATCTGGTCCCATGAGGATGCACGCTGTATGGTCCAGCTTCTTTGTGCAGGCCCCCCCCTGGGGCCGGCAGCCCGGCCTGTGACTGGTAAAGAAGTGGATGGAGGTACCTGTTCTGGAGAAAAGGCAACGTGAGGACAGGCCCCTCCTGGGTGGGCTCTGTGAACTTCTATGATGTTGGCCTAGGGTGTGAGGATGATGAGGCCAAGGACAGGCAAGGACCTCCCCTCCCCAGGAAGGAGAGGGGGACTGCAGCAGGCCTGGCTCCCTGGGGTGCTGGGAGGACCACATTCGGGGAACTTTGGGTCCCAAAGCATGTTCCTGAGGCCCATGCATGTACGGTCAGTTGTCCTGGGAGAGCAAGTCCTGGCCGGGACATGAAGGAGGGGTGGGATTAACCTGGAGGAGGCGGGCATTGGCAAGGCTGGAGCGGAGAGGCTGGGGCACAACTGGCCGTTGATGTAATTTCAACCACAACCCAAAGGGAACCTTTATGGGGTATAAACTGAGGACACATTTGCCGTATGCACGATAGATGAAAGTTTAGTACGAACATTGAAAAGTCCTTAGAACTAAAACAGAGCATAATGCAAAAGAACCAAATACAAAATTCAAGTCATTGAAATGATCAATAACCATAGGCAAAGCTATTGGATCTCATTAATAATTAAAGTTCCTCAAACTAAAACACAGATGGCCCACCCGTAAGATCAACAAGCCCAGGGCTGCTTGCTGAGCGAGGGAGCAGGGCCACGGGCAGCAGGGGTGTTTCCCATGTATGTGATAACACAAAATACAAAATCCACCGTTTTCGCCATCTTCAAGTGTGTAATTCCGGGGCGTTTAGTACGGTCCCACTGTTGTGCAACCGTGCCCAGGCTCAGGTTCCAGAACATTCCCTCCACGACGAAGGAAACCCCATGCAATTAGGCAGCCCCTCCCTGAGCCGGTCGACTGCTGCTCCGCTCTCTGTCCCCGTGGGTTTGCCCGTCTGCACATTTCACACAAAACCCCGAACCGCATGTGGCCTTTCGCGTGGGGCTCATTTCGTTCACCACGGAGGTTCAAGTCCATCCCACCGAGGCACGAGCCCACGCCCCACTCCCGCGCATGGGTGAGCGATGTTCCTCGGCGTGGGCGGGCCGCACTTTGTTTACCCACTCCTCCGCTGACGGCATGTGAGTTATTTCCACCCTTTGGCTAATGTGAATAGTGCTATGAACATTTTTTGCATGAGTTTTTGCCTGAATACTTCTCTTCCATTCTCTTGGCTGTATACACAGCAGTGGAACTGCTGGGTCACATGGTAAATCTGCGTTTAACTTTGGAGGACCTGCCAGGCCCACAGCGGCTGTACAAGTTCACGTTCTCAACAGCAGTGTGGGAGGGCTCCCTACTTCACCTGCTTGCCAACACGTGTGATTTATTTATTTATTTGTCTGTGAAATATTTTATTTATTTATTTTTAGAGAGGGAAGGGAGGGAGATAGAGAGAGAGAGAGAGACATCAATGTGAGGTTGCTGGGGGCCATGGCCTGCAACCCAGGCATGTACCCTGACTGGGAATCGAACCTGTGATGCTTTGGTTCACAGCCCATGCTCAATCCACTGAGCTACGCCAGCCAGGGCTGATTTATTTATTTTTTGATTCTGGCCACCGTACTGCGTGTGAAGTGGCATCCTGTTGAAGGTTTGACTTGTCGTTTCCAAACGACCAAGGAAGATGCTGGGCTTGCTTTCCTGTGCTGGTGGCCGTTCGTGTGTCTTCTCTGGAGAAGTATTCTTTCTAGTTACTTTGTCTTTTCGTTGTTGAGTTGTAGGGGTTCTTTATGTATGATGTATACTAGACCCTGATCAGAACTGAAATTTGTGAGTATTTTCTTCCATTCTGTGGGTTGTCTTTTCACTCTCTGCAGACTGTCCTTTAATATACAACACTTGAAAATCCTGATGAAGTCCAACTTACCTATTTTTTTAAAATTATATTTTAGTGATTATGCTAATACAGTTTTCCTGATTTTTCCCCTTTGTCCCCTCCACCCACCCATGCCCCACTCCCTCAGGCAATCCCCCCACCATTGTTCATGTCCATGGGCCATGCATATAAGTTCTTTGGCTGCTCCATTTCCTATTGTGTACTTTACATCCCCAAAGCTATTCTGGAACTACCTGTTTGTACTTCTTAATCCCCTTACCTCTTCACCCATTTCCCCACAGTGCTTCCCTCCCATCTCTTTACCTTTAACCTTTGACATTTTAATTACGATGTGTCCTGGAGTAGGCCTCTTTGCATTCATCTTGTTTGGGACTCTCTGTGCTTCCTGGACTTGCATGTTTATTTCCTTCACCAAATTAGGGAAGTTTTTTTTTCATTATTATTTCAAACAGATTTCCAATTCCTTGCTCTTTCTTTTCTCTTTCTGGCACCTCTGTGATGTGAATGTTGAAATGTTTGAAGTTGCCCCAGAGGTTGTTTGTACTATCCTCATTTTCTTGGATTCTTTTTTCTTGTTGTTCTGACTGATTGTTTTTTTCTTCCTTGTGTTTCAAATCATTGCTTTGGTTCTCGGCTTCATGCACTCTGCTATTGTTTCCCTGTAAATTGTTCTTTATTTCAATTAGTGTATCCTTTGTTTCTGACTGGATCTTTCTTATGCTGCTGAGGTCCTCACTAAGTTTCTTGAGGATCCTTATAACCAGTGTTTTGAACTCTGCATCTGATAGATTGCTTATCTCCATTTCATTTAGTTCTTTTTCTGGAGTTTTGATCTGTTTTTTCATTTGAGCCATGTTTCTTTGTCTCCTCATTTTTGTAGCCTCCCTGTGTTTGTTTTTATGTATTAAGTAAAGCTACTTTGACTCTGTGTCTTGGTAGTGTGGCCTAATATAGTAGGTGTCCTGTAGGGTCCAGTGGTACAGTCTCCCCTACCACTTAAGCTGGGTACTTGAGATGTGCCCTCTGTTTTCTTCTAAGAATTATAGTTTTAGCTCTTATATTTAGGTTTTTGATTTATTTGAGGTGTTTTTTTTTGTCATCAAGTGATCTTTAATTGAAATATTTTTCTCTGTAGTTCTTAACTAGGTGGGTGCCCCACTGCACCACTGCTGCCGTCATCTATGATGTTACCAGGGTGACAGCCGTCAAGAGTGCAGCCCACAGCCTGGGCAGTCCCCAGGACCTCTTTAAGGGTTCCAGAGAGTTCTCTAGGTAAAGATTGGTGCCACATCTGTCAAGCAGTGTTGACAATCTTATCAAAAGTGATATTTCCACTGTGAGTAATGTTTTTTTCCTATCTCGTGGTTGTTCTTTGAGGGCTTTGCTGATCAGGGCAGAGGCAGAAGTCACTATCTCAGTCTGGGTCTGTCCGTTCTGAGTTTTCAGTCTCACTGTGATCCTCAGACCCTTCCAATTACTGGTTGCTTTGGCAATGTCATCACCAAACTTTTTTAGGGACAGGCCCAGGGGGCTGATCGTGGAGGCCAGGGCAGACATGGTGCTGATTTCCCTACCAGTGTGCCTCAGGTATACAACTTTGATCTTGTTGGGGTCAAACTTTGGTGACTTGTTAGAGGTGGTTAGTATCAGATGAACCCAGATTCAGGATGAACAAAGAAGGTTGCAACTAAGCCTTCTCCAAGCCAAAAGCTGGAAGTGAGTTAATTTTTATATATGGTATAAGATAGGGTTCAGCTTCATTCTTTTGCATGTAAATATTCAGTTGACCCAGAACCCAGAAAGAGACTATTCTTTCTCCACTGAATGGTCTCAACACTCCTGTTAGAAATCAATTGACCATATATTTGTGGGTTTATTGCTGGACTCTCAATTTTATTCCATTGATCTATTTGTTTATCCTTATGCCAGTAGCTCTGTTTTGATTACTGTAGCTTTGTAGTAAGTTTCCTTCCTTCCTTCCTTCCTTCCTTCCTTCCTTTCTTTCTTTCTTTCTTTCTTTCTTTCCTTTCTTTCTTATTTGAATGTCTTCCCTTTTCTTGCCCAGTTGCTCTGTCTAGAACTTCCAGTACAGTGTTGAATAGAAGAGGTTAAAGGGATATCTTTAACTTATTCTTTGTCTTAGAGGGGAAAGCTTTTAGTGTTTCACCATTGAATATTATGTTATGTTATGTGGCTTTTTCATAACACCCTCTGTTATGTGGAGGAACTTTGCTTCTATCCCTAGTTTGTTGAGTGTTTTTTTTAACCATAAAAGAGGTCTTTTTTTAATTGGATGCTTTTCTACATCAATTGAGATCATGTGTGGTTCCCCCTTCATTCTATCAATTTTACACTGATGGGTTTTCATATGAGAATCACTCTTTCTTTTTTTTAAGATTTTATTTATTTATTTTTAGAGAGGGAAGGGAGGGAGAAAGAGATAGAGAGAGAGAGAGAGAGAAACATCAATGTGCGGTTGCTGGGGGTCATGGCCTGCAACCCAGGCATGTGCCCTGGCTGGGAATCGAACCTGCGACACTTTGGTTCGCAGCCCGCACTCAATCCACTGAGCTCTGAGCTATGCCAGCCAGGGCTGAGAATCACTCATTCTTGGGATAAACCCCATTTGTTTCTTGGATATAATCCCTTTAATATGATGTTGGATTTGGTTTGACTGTATTTTGTTGAAGATTTTAAAC